GGTCCGTAATATAGAGGTGAAACTGCCCGTGATATAGAGGGGTCCGTAATATAGAGGTGACTGTTATCTAGAGATATCGCTTATACGAAGGTAACCGTTATAACCTTTTATAGAAGTGCCTGTAACATAGAGGTGCCCGTTTGATATACAGTGCTATAGCGGAGAAAGGGCAAAGCAGTCAGTCTGATAAACGACCCTGTCAGGGAGAAAGCTAGAACCAGCTTACAAATTCTAATTTCATAGGGTGATCTCGACAGGAATCGAACGAGAACCAGAGCTAGTGATGATAGACCCTGCTCCACGAGTTGATAGTCCGTAAGGCGACGCTCGACCGAATAGACAATCAATTTGTATGGCAAGACTGATACAACCAAACTCCAAAATAAATTTGAAATTAGAACTTTTTAAAAAAAGTGGAAACCTTTCTCATGTTTCAGTTATTTCACGTTTATTTCTTTATTATTATTATTTTAGCATTTCTCGAATAGACAAAAGTTKATAGCCAATCAGAGTGTTAGGTTTCTWGTRGTGAACAGTTTGGTCGATACTTAAAAATCGAGAGACTTCGAAACACTTTAAGGTKCTCGCTGTGGAACGACATTATTGGTAATCAGTAAATTTACGCCTTCAAATACGCCACTCCCGAATGATTGAACAACTTATAAGAATAGAGATGACTTGGTGTTTAATACATTGTTGACACAAAATCTTGATCATGAGATAAAACGTACTGCCTAGYGACAATCAAAATTAATTGAGATCTGAACTGATCAATATTGCTGGCAGGATAGGCAGSGTGCAGGTGACTCATTAGAAACAATCACTCTTATATCCGCTCTTTGAGTTGCTGAGGGACTAACAGRACCCTGTAATTAATCTATAAATAATACAATCCTGGAAGTAGACAACRCACTGTGAAAAATCGGCTGTCCCTCAACTCTTGTGCATTTTCGAYCCAGGCAAAAACGATGAGAAATTGTGTATATGTCATTGCCATGTCTTTAGTTGTTTTTTGTTTGCTTWTGGTGGAYCAAACAAGAGGTTTTCATGCGCATGCGACAACACAACTTGGGAAAAAGAGGGAATTTAAGGTAAAGCAATTTTCACAATAAGTGTCCCATTCACTTGATTATTTTGTTATATTTTGTTTTATTTTTTTCCACTTATTTGGCGTTTCATCAATTTCTCAAAATGTTAAGGCAATAGCTTGTTGTACTATGTTAAGGCTTAAGCCAGAGACCTGGTGGCAGAATCAAATGGRCTGGGCGTAAAGTAAAATACTGAATACAAGAAAAGTTAGTATAGAACGAGCTTCTGCTTCCAAAGCACGTTAATGCTTGCCTTACTTGAAGTTTTTGAATGAAGCATCAACAATGTTGGATGAACTTTGAACTCCGTCAAACTTTCTATGCATCTAACATTTTTAGGCATGCTTATATTTTGCTGTTTGTCCACCTTGTTTTATGTTGATTGATGTTGTTGGAAAGTCCGTTAAACAATTTTTAAAGCTATTTGGATGTTTAACTTAATGTGAGGACAATGGATCGATATTGGCTGGTGTYTCGACTGTTTAATGAGGTCTAAATTTTTCTCAGATTCTAAATAAATTTGTATCGTTTGTAGAGCCAATTTCTAAAAAAAAAAAACTAAAAAAAGCCATTGTACCTATTTCACTATTGAAACGTTAAATGTTGTTTAATGTTGATATGAATTTTCTTACACTTTTAGAATTCAGTTCGTCACTTTCTCCGAATATTGGAATTTTTTTTGCTTTTTGACTTTCCTAATATGAACTAATTCAGGCACTTTTGTTTAAATATGTTACTRCTTTACACAAGTTGCTTCAGTTATAAATATTTTAGAAAAAGATGTGTGTTTCCTAGGTTCTCGAACTTAATTAAATCAACATCTGTATGTGACTAAAAAACAATTTATCAAATAAGTTAAACAAAATTTGAATTAAGTAGCTTTTCTATTTTCCAATATGAACCAATTCAGAACAAAAATGTTGTTCTCTGGCACATATCAATTTTGATTAAATTWCCTTATATATTGGCTGAAGATGTGTTACTTCTATTGAAGTTTATTACTGTGATTGCAATAAAAAATTATCTGTCATAAATATTTTATTAAACAAAGCATTTTTGTTCTCTAGCACGTATCAAATTTCACATATTGACTTTTATTTATAAATGAAAAAGAATTTATCACAATTAAATAAAATTGGAATTGACCAGCCATCAGATTTGAAAGCGTCGTCAAGTTGATATCGACAGCTGAYTGATATATACATGGATATATTTTCTACATTTTAACTATCGATCAAAAGATATTTATGAGAGACGCTGATCAACTTTAGGCGTAATTMAAAAAATAATAATAAACAGACCAAGCTTACTTTCATTTTTTAACCAAARTTCATTCTGTGGCGAAGTTTRCCTATCAAAATYCACCTTATTTGCTAAATTATCTCTACAGSGCAACTTCTGAATAGGTACACGCCTGTATGAAAACATTGCTTGAAAAATCGCTTTTTTAGCTATCACTGCTTTTAGTTTTCTCTGCTAGTGTTAYTAGCCATCATAAAATCTTTTCCGCCTAGTTTTATCAGTTCAATCTTTAGATAATTTATCATTCTCTTTGAGGAGTGTCATTGTTGAAGGAAAACTCGGTAAACATCTTGAGTAAAAGATAGTGCAATCAACACAATCCCTTTGACGTAAGAATGGAAAAAAAATAATCGAAGAAAACAATAGAGGAATGCTAGAAACAATGAAAACATAAGGAGGATTATCCAAGCCTTTTCTGTCAAAAAATAGCAACAAAAGTTAGACAAATTAGCGCTAGCAAAAAGTATTAATAGAATCCGAAACACAGGGAAAAAAGTATTTTTTTATCGAAGAGCAGATAGAAGAATTTTAAATCCTTTTATATAGCATGGCACACAAATTGAGTACATTTAAACAAACCAGAGAACAAGACAAAATGAAATTTRATTATTTACGCCAGGATGTTGYAARTTTTAAAGAAGAATCGTTTTCAGAAAGACWAGTGAGTCTTGTAGTTAGCATCGCATTCTAAATCTATTGTTTTCTTACTAAATRAATAATCMTTTTTCATCGGTTGAAAMTAGCGGWAA